TATCGTAGTACATCTATAGGGTATTTATAAAGGGTAGACTGAACTAGTATCGTAGTACATCTATGGTCTATTCATAAAGGGTAGACTGAACTAGTATCGTAGTACATCTATAGGGTATTTATAAAGGGTAGACTGAACTAGTATCGTAGTACATCTATGGTCTATTCATAAAGGGTAGACTGGATTACAGGCAACATCTGCACCGAGCTAAAGGCTAGAGCTGCCGCTTTCATGGAGCGGGACACTAACCCGGACGATTATAACAAATCTCGCTATGCCTTTAGACGAATCATCAAACAGGCAAAGCGTCAATACAGGACTAAGATTGAATCCTACTACACCGGCTCTGACGCTCGTCGGATGTGGCAGGGCTTGCAAACTATTACGGACTACAAAGGGAAACCCAGCCGCGAGCTGCCCAGTGACGTGAGCCTTCCAGAAGAGCTTCAGTAATCCATAGAGCATCACTCTCCCCAGTCTCTTACCGTCTCCTCAGTAATCCATAGAGCATCACTCTCCCCAGTCTCTTACCGTCTCCTCAGTAATCCATAGAGCATCACTCTCCTGAGTCTCTTACCGTCTCCTCAGTAATCCATAGAGCATCACTCTCCTGAGTCTTTTACTGTCTCCTCAGTAATCCATAGAGCATCACTCTCCTGAGTCTCTTACTGTCTCCTCAGTAATCCATAGAGCATCACTCTCCTGAGTCTCTCACACACTCCTCAGTAATCCATAGAGCATCACTCTCCCCAGTCTCTTACTGTCTCCTCAGTAATCCATAGAGCATCACTCTCCCCAGTCTCTTACCGTCTCCTCAGTAATCCATAGAGCATCACTCTCCTGAGTCTCTTACTGTCTCCTCAGTAATCCATAGAGCATCACTCTCCTGAGTCTCTTACTGTCTCCTCAGTAATCCATAGAGCATCACTCTCCCCAGTCTCTTACCGTCTCCTCAGTAATCCATAGAGCATCACTCTCCTGAGTCTCTTACTGTCTCCTCAGTAATCCATAGAGCATCACTCTCCTGACTCTCTTACTGTCTCCTCAGTAATCCATAGAGCATCACTCTCCCCAGTCTCTTACCGTCTCCTCAGTAATCCATAGAGCATCACTCTCCTGACTCTCTTACTGTCTCCTCAGTAATCCATAGAGCATCACTCTCCCCAGTCTCTTACCGTCTCCTCAGTAATCCATAGAGCATCACTCTCCTGAGTCTCTCACACACTCCTCAGTAATCCATAGAGCATCACTCTCCCCAGTCTCTTACTGTCTCCTCAGTAATCCATAGAGCATCACTCTCCCCAGTCTCTTACCGTCTCCTCAGTAATCCATAGAGCATCACTCTCCTGAGTCTCTTACTGTCTCCTCAGTAATCCATAGAGCATCACTCTCCTGAGTCTCTTACTGTCTCCTCAGTAATCCATAGAGCATCACTCTCCCCAGTCTCTTACCGTCTCCTCAGTAATCCATAGAGCATCACTCTCCTGAGTCTCTTACTGTCTCCTCAGTAATCCATAGAGCATCACTCTCCTGAGTCTCTTACTGTCTCCTCAGTAATCCATAGAGCATCAATCTCCTGAGTCTCTTACTCTTCCCTCAGTAATCCATAGAGCATCACTCTCCTGAGTCTCTTACTGTCTCCTCAGTAATCCATAGAGCATCACTCTCCTGAGTCTCTTACTATCTCCTCAGTAATCCATAGAGCATCACTCTCCTGAGTCTCTTACTATCTCCTCAGTAATCCATAGAGCATCACTCTCCTGAGTCTCTTACTGTCTCCTCAGTAATCCATAGAGCATCACTCTCCTGAGTCTCTTACTGTCTCCTCAGTAATCCATAGAGCATCACTCTCCTGAGTCTTTTACTGTCTCCTCAGTAATCCATAGAGCATCACTCTCCTGAGTCTCTCACACACTCCTCAGTAATCCATAGAGCATCACTCTCCTGAGTCTCTTACTGTCTCCTCAGTAATCCATAGAGCATCACTCTCCCCAGTCTCTTACCGTCTCCTCAGTAATCCATAGAGCATCACTCTCCTGAGTCTCTTACCGTCGTGTCAAAGGAAGGCCCTAAAAATTGTCAGACTCCAGCCACCTAAGTCATAGACTGTTCTCTCTGCTACCACATGGCAAGCGGTACTGATGCACCAAGTCCGGAACCAACAGGACCCTGAACAGCTTCCACCCCAAGCCATAAGACTGCTAAATACGTTTGTTAAATAGTTAACCAAATAGGTACCCGGGCTATCTGATATGATCCCCCTTTGCACTAACTCTCTCTTGACTCATCACATACGCTGCTGCTACTGTCTATCATCTATCCTGTTGCCTAGTTACTCTAACCTGGACCTATAAGTACACAGCTACCTCAATTACCTAATTCCCCCGCACATCGACTCAGTACTGATACTCCGTCGAAGCGTTGGTTATTAAATTATTGCATCTGAGCTCCTAGAGTGTTAGGCTCTCTTTTTCAAATGTTCTACTCTGCTAGCCAGCACCTCTCCTAAACAGGTGTGCGTTTCTTTCGCCTCCTGAACTCCCTGTATATAGCCATGTTATTTTTACTCATTGTTATTTATTTTACATTTTTACATTTTAGTCATTTAGCAGACGCTCTTATCCAGAGCGACTTACAGGAGCAATTAGGGTTAAGTGCCTTGCTCAAGGGCACATTTACGTCATTTAGCAGACGCTCTAGTCCAGAGCGACTCACAAATTGATGCATTTACCCTATAGCCAGTGGGATAACCACTTTACAATTTATTTTTGTGGGGGATGGGGGGGTAGAAGGATTACTTTATCCTATCCCAGGTATTCCTTAAAGAGGTGGGGTTTCAAATGTCTCCGGAAGGTGGTGAGCGACTCCGCTGTGTGTGTGTGTGGGGGGGGGGGGGGGGGGGGGGGGTAGAAGGATTGCTTTATCCTATCCCAGGTATTCCTTAAAGAGGTGGGGTTTCAAATGTCTCCGGAAGGTGGTGAGTGACTCCGCTGTGGGGTGGGGGGTGGGGGGGGGGTCACTGTGTATTTATTCCTCCTGTCACTATTAATATTGGTTATCTTTAACTCTGCATTGTTGGAAAAGGACCCACAAGTAAGCATTTCACTGTTAGTCTATACCTGTTGTTTACAAAGCATGTGACAAATAACATTTGATTTGATCTAACACACACACACACACACCGCACGCACACACTACACAGACACACTGTATTTAAATTTGTTTATTAAATTCAACATGATCTCAATAACCAGTTAAAATGTTCCAAGTGAACAGTGTGTATATGAGAGTAAAAACATTCCTCCCAAATGTCACCCTGGTCCCTTTATAGTGCACTACTTTTGATCAGGGCCCATCGGGCACTATGTAGGGAACAGGGTTCCATTTGGGACGCATCACAAAACTTGAGTACCCCAATGAGAACAACATGGGAGGAAATTTAAATAGGGTTACCGTAACAACCCAGTGTAACAACATAGATACAAACAAAACCACAACTGCTGGAGAAAAATATAGAACTTCTTAAATTGATTTACCGGTGGGTGTGTGTGTGTGTGTTTGTGTGTGCTACCTGCGGTCAACTAAACCAACCGAAGGGAGACAATATGGACCAGCATCACCGGTACAGTACATGTCACTTTTGTTGTTGTATAAGATTTAACTTAAAAGGGATACTTCGGAATATTTGCAACGAGGCCCTTTATCTACTTCCCCAGAGTCAGATGAACTCGTGGACACCATTTTTATGTCTCTGCGTTCAGTTTGGAGAAAGTTGCTAACTAGCGCTAGATCAATCGCTAACTAGCGTTAGCGCAATGACTGGAAGTCTATGGGTATCTGCTTAGCATGCTAGTTAGCGTTGGCTTGCGAAACGACCTCTTAACTTCCTTCATACTGGACACAAACATAAAAATGGTGTCCACGAGTTCATCCGACTCTGGGGAAGTAGATAAAGGGGCTTTGACAAAAAAAAATATATATATTTTAAGAGGAGAGGCAATGCTGTCTTATTGATGATCACCATGTTTCAATGTTATTAATAATATTCAATATTTCAATCTCAATAAATATATTATGTGGTTGAGCCATTTTGGATTGTCTTTATACATCGCTTACCGATTTAGATATGATCTGCTTACTTGATTTCACTTTGTTGTTCAAAATCACCAACTGCTAATAGCAGATAAATAAATAAGTAAATTATTAATTGAATTACAAAATAGAAGTATATTTTCGGACAGAATTTTGACTTGTTCGATATTTGAATCTATAGGCTTCATTGAGAGCATTATACGATACAATACAACCTAAATATACTGCAATAAAGCATAATATGTGGATTACAGTCAAATACAGTACATTTATGTCAGAAAAGGTCAATAAAATATTTAAATCATGTTTATAAATAAATACGGTCAAAAGTCAATACTATTCAAGTATCATTATTGCCAAGACATGAAATAAGTGCTAAAGTAAATTCTTCAGTTGTGCATTTGATCTATAATTCCCTTGTTTACCTTACCTATGGGGGTTTGAGTAGATGCTAAGTGGGATCCTTGGGATGACCCTACCCTAAACCCTAACCTTAACCCCTACACTTACCTTAACCCTAAACGTAACTCTCTTCTTAACCTTTACCTTAACAGTTTTAAATGTCAACTTCAATGGGGGTGACGTCAGAGTTAGACGTCCAAAGGATCCCACTTAGCATTTATCTATGCTGCATAGAGTAACACTGTGAGCAGAATAAATGCAGCCCTTCCTGAGTTTAAAACATTCAGGATTTCCCTGAACTTAACATATGAATTACAAAATGGCCATCTCTTGAAAACCAAACAACCCAAAAAACTAAACCAACCAAAACATCAACACAAACGTAAAACGGCTCAGTAAACTAACTAGGGCACATAGGAGAGGTTGTTCACCTCTACCTCCCTCCTCTCTCTCCCTCTGTCTGCTCCTCTCCCACAGTGGATGATCAGAAGAAGGCAGGGTTCTGGTTAGGGGGAATATAGAGTCTCTGTGGGGCGGTGGGGAGGGTGGGGGGAGAGAGGGGAGAGGGGGTAAGGAGAAAAGGGGAAGGATCTGGTACAGCCGTATGAGAGGAGACCGGGACCGTTGGAGACAGGAGGCGAGAGAGAACCGTAGGAGAGAGGAGGAAGAGGAGGAGAGAGTGATCCGGGGGAACTACCGTTGAGGAAGGAACAGTCTGAGAGAGGGAGGGATGGAGGGAGGGAGTAGAGAAGGGGGGGGGAAATGGTCAATTGATTGGTATGCTCTAACACAGGGGTGGGCAACATCCAGGCTAGAGAGACAAAAATCGGGAATTCCATGGGCAGTTATTTTAAATGACATAGGCCCATTATAATTTCGACATAGTTTTAACCAGGTATAGACGTTCAAGTGGAGCCTGAAGTCGTTTTTTATTTTTTTTTAATCCAAAATAATAATTTCCCCTAAAATCCACCGCGGGCCATATTAAATCGGGCCACCCACCAGTTGTGAGTCACTGCTCTAACAAGTGTCAAGTGTACGTGTGTGTTAACTAACCCAGGTTCCAGAGTGCGTTCTGTGCTGCCAGCTCCTTAGCGTCCTCCAACACTGTACACACCTTGTCTGGCATGAAGCTACTCCTCGTAGACGAGATCACCACCTAACAGACAAAAAAACACACGCACAGAGAGAGAATTAAAAGGATGTTTTCCCCAAATTATAAAATATACCTCATCTAAGAAATTTTAATTTTAGTCATTTAGCAGACGCTCTTATCCAGAGCGACTTACAGGAGCAATTAGGGTTAAGTGCCTTGCTCAAGGGCACAACGACAGATTTTTCACCTAGTCGGCTCGGGGATTAGAACCAGCGACCTTTCGGTTACTGGCACAACGCTCTTAACCACTAAGCATGGTTCAGAGATAAGAGTATGATCCCAATGCTTGGCTGTAACTTGGGTTGCTGCCTTTCCAGACTACTTCCAAAGGTCTCCGTATGATGAGGTACATCAATTTAAAAAGTATGGGAGGCAGTCTTTCTTAGTCTGGCTGACACCAGCTCTCAAAAGTATTTCACAGCTTGCTGTGTAGTCACATGGGGTCGCACGTCAGCCAGGCTAGGTTTTTGGATTAATGTTTGTATGTTAAATAGTATGTAGTAGTAAAGGTGGTGAAAATAATGAATGAACAAAAAGTACTAATTAACAATGAATGAATGAATGAGACAAGATACCCACCTTGTATATGAGCAGTAGCTTCCCCTCTTGTCCCGGCGTAGAGTAGAGGTAGTACTCAGGTAGAGCCCAGCTGTTCTTATAGCAGTAGTACTCTAGTAGAGTCACCGCTGAACTAAACTGACCTAGTAACAACATATATAATATATAGTATTATTACAGTATATTATATAGTATTAGTAGTAGTAGAGGTAGTATTCAGGTAGAACCCAGCTGTTCTTATAGCAGTAGTACTCTAGCAGAGTCACCGCTGAACTAAACTGACCTAGTAACAACATATATAATATATAGTATTATTACAGTATATTATATAGTATTAGTAGTAGTAGAGGTAGTACTCAGGTAGAGCCCAGCTGTTCTTATAGCAGTAGTACTCTAGCAGAGTCACCGCTGAACTAAACTGACCTAGTAACAACATATATAATATATAGTATTATTACAGTATATTATATAGTATTAGTAGTAGTAGAGGTAGTACTCAGGTAGAGCCCAGCTGTTCTTATAGCAGTAGTACTCTAGTAGAGTCACCGCTGAACTAAACTGACCTAGTAACAACATATATAATATATAGTATTATTACAGTATATTATATAGTATTAGTAGTAGTAGAGGTAGTACTCAGGTAGAGCCCAGCTGTTCTTATAGCAGTAGTACTCTAGCAGAGTCACCGCTGAACTAAACTGACCTAGTAACAACATATATAATATATAGTATTATTACAGTATATTATATAGTATTATTAGTAGTAGAGGTAGTATTCAGGTAGAGCCCAGCTGTTCTTATAGCAGTAGTACTCTAGCAGAGTCACAGCTGAACTAAACTGACCTAGTAACAACATATATAATATATAGTATTATTACAGTATATTATATAGTATTATTAGTAGTAGAGGTAGTATTCAGGTAGAGCCCAGCTGTTCTTATAGCAGTAGTACTCTAGTAGAGTCACCGCTGCACTAAACTGACCTAGTAACAACATATATAATATATAGTATTATTACAGTATATTATATAGTATTAGTAGTAGTAGAGGTAGTATTCAGGTAGAGCCCAGCTGTTCTTATAGCAGTAGTACTCGAGTAGTTACCGCTAAACTAAACTGGCCTAGATTGATAATGGTGCCGGAGGGGATGGCTGCCGTTTCACGGGCTCCTAACCAATTGTGATATTCTGTGTTTTGTTTTTTAAACGTATTTTGTACATAATGTGTCTGCCACCGTCTCTTGTGACTGAAAAGAGCTTCTGGATATCAGAACAGCGATTACTTACCTCGAACAGGACGAAGATTATTTTAATTTTTTTAATGAGTCTGACGCGAAGGATATACTGTTGCTCCTGGACCAGGCCCAAATCCCCGTCATTCACATGAAGAAAAGACGGAGATACAGGGGGCGGAGATCCAGGTGCCTTGTGAGAATTTGTCGGCGAGTGGGTAACCCGCCACTACCATCCGTTCTATTGGCCCGAGTGAAATCACTGGAGAATAAACTCAACGAGCTGTATAAGGCCATAAGCAAACAAGAAAATGCTCATCCAGAACATCTCAACATCAACTGTTCAGAGGGGACTGTGTGAATCAGGCCTTCATGGTCGAATTGCTGCAAAAAAAAACACTACTAAAGGACACCAATAAGAAGAAGAGACCTGCTTGGGCCAAGAAACACGAGCAATGGACATTAGACCGGTGGAAATCTGTCCTTTTGTCTGGAGTTCAAATTTGAGATTTTTGGTTCCAACCGCCGTGTCTTTGTGAGACGCAGAGTAGGTGAATGGATGATCTCCGCATGTGTAGTTCCCACCGTAAAGCATGGAGGAGGAGGTGTTATGGTGTGGGGGTGCTTTGCTAGTGACACTGTCTGTGATTTATTTAGAATTCAAGGCACACTTAACCAGCGTGGCTACCACAGCATTCTGCAGCGATTCGCCATCCCATCTGGTTTGGGCTTAGTGGGACTATCATTTGTTTTTCAACAGGACAATGACCCAACACACCTCCAGGCTGTGAAAGGGCTATTTTACCAAGAAGGAGAGTGATGGATTGCTGCATCAGATGACCTGGCCTCCACAATCCCCCGACCTCAACCCAGTTGAGATGGTTTGGGATGAGTCAGAAGGCAGAGTGAAGGAAAAGCAGCCAACAACAGTACCAGTCAAAAGTTTGGACACACCTACTCATTCAAAGGTTTTTCTTTATTTTTACTATTTTCTACATTGTAGAATAATAGTGAAGACATCACAACAATGAAATAACACATTTGGAATCATGTAGTAACCAAAAAAGTGTTAAACAAATCAAAATATATTTGATATTTGAGATTCTTCAAATAGCCACCCTTCGCCTTGATGACAGATTTGCACACTCTTGGCATTCTCTCAACCAGCTTCATGAGGTAATTTCAATTAGCAGGTGTGCCTTCTTAAAGGTTAATTTGTGGAATTTCTCTCCTTCTTAATGCAAAGGGTGGCTATTTGCTTCAAGACGTCCACCATTGTTCCTGTACCCAAGAAAGCAAAGGTAACTGAACTAAATGACTATCGCCCCATAGCACTCGCTTCTGTCATCATGAAGTGCTTTGAGAGGCTAGTTAAGGATCACCTCTACCTTACCCGACACCCTAGACCCACTTCAATTTGCTTACCGCCCCAATAGATCCACAGACAATGCAATTGCCATCACACTGCACACTGCCCTGTCCCATCTGGACAAGAGGAATACCTATGTAAGAATGCTGTTCATTGACTATAGCTCAGCATTCAACACCATAGTACCCTCCAAACTCATCATTAAGCTCGAGGCCCTGGGTCTGAACCCCGCCCTGTGCAACTGGGTCCTGGACTGCCTGACGGGCCGCCCCCAGGTGGTGAAGGTAGGAAACAACATCTCCACTTCACTGATCCTCAACACAGGGGCCCCACAAGGGTGCGTGCTCAGCCCCCACCTTTACTCCCTGTTCACCCATGACTGCGTGGCCAAGCACACCTCCAACTCAATCATCAAGTTTGCAGACGACACAACAGTAGCAGGCCTGATTACCAATAATGACGAGACCGCCTACAGGGAGGAGGTGAGGGCCCTGGCGGAGTGGTGCCAGGAAAATAACCTCTCCCTCAACGTCAACAAAACGAAGGAGCTGATCGTGGACTTCAGGAGACAGCAGAGGGAGCACGCCCCCATCCACATCGACGGGACCGCAGTGGAGAAGGTGTAAAGTTAAGATCCTCGGAGTAAACATCACTGACAATCTGAAATGGAAGAAGGCGCAACAGAGCCTCTTCAACCTCAGGAGGCTGAAGACATTTGGCTTGGCCCCTAAGACCCTCACAAACTTTTACAGATGCACAATTGAAAGCATCCTGTCGGGCTGTATCACCGCCTGGTATGGCAATCCTTGATGATCTGTTTTGGCTTTCCTGTGTCATTGGATGCTGTAGATGTCCTGGTGGGCAGGCAGTGTGCCCCCGGGGATGCGTTGGGCAGACCGCACCACCCTCTGGAGAGCCCTGCAGTTGCGGGCGGTGCGGTCTGCCCAACGCATCCCCGGGGGCACACTGCCTGCCCACCAGGACATCTACAGCATCCAATGACACAGGAAAGCCAAAACAGATCATCAAGGACATCAGAAGTCGAGGTCAGTACAGGTGCATCAAAGCTGGGACTGAGAGACTGAAAAACAGCTTTATCTCAAGACTGTTAAAAAGCCATCACTAGCCGGTTACCACACGGTTACTCAACCCTGCACCTTATAGGCTGTTCTCCTATGTAAATTGACATGGAATCACTGGTCACTTTAATAATCTTTACATACTGCTTTACTCATTTCATATGTATATACTGTATTCTACTGTATTTTAGTCAATGCCATTCCGACATTGTTCATCCTAATATTTATATATTTCTTAATTCCATTCTTTTACTTTTAGATTTGTGTGTTTTGTTGTGAATTGTTAGATACTACTGCACTGTTGGAGATAGGAACACAAGCATTTCGCTACACCCGCAATAACATCTGCTAAATATGTGCATATGACCAATGTAATTTATTGGAGGAGTTTACCACTGGCTTCATCAGTAAGTGCATCGACGACGTCGTCCCTACAGTGACCGTACGTACATATCCCAACCAGAAGCCATGGATTACAGGCAACATCCGCACCGAGCTAAAGGCTAGAGCTGCTGCTTTCAAGGAGCGGGACACTAACCCGGACGCTTATAAGAAATCCTGCTATGCCCTCAGACAAACCATCAAACAGGCAAAGTGTCAATACAGGACTAAGACTGAATCCTACTACACAAGCTATGATGCTTGTCGGATGTGGCAGGGCTTGCAAACTATTACGGACTACAAAAGGAAACCCTGCCGCGAGCTGCCCAGTGACGCGAGCCTACCAGAAGAGCTAAATGCCTTTTATGCTTGCTTCGAGGCAAGCAACACTCAAGCATGCATGAGAGCACCAGCTGTTCCGGACGAATCCGTGATCACGCTCTCCGTAGCTGATGTGAGCAAGACCTTTAAACAGGTCAACATTCACAAGGCCGCGGGGCCAGACAGATTACCAGGACGTGTACTCAGAGCATGTGCCTTCACTGACATTTTGTGTCTTCACTGACATTTTCAACCTCTCCCTGACCGAGTCTGTAGACCTACATGTTTCAAGCAGACCACCATAGTCCCTGTGCCCAAGAACACCAAGGTAACCTGCCTAAATGACTACCGCCCTGTAGCACTCACGTCGGTAGGCATGAAGTGCTTTGAAAGGCTGGTCATGGCTCACAACACCATCATCCCCGAAACCCTAGACCCACTCCAATTCGCATACCACCCCAACAGATTCACAGATGACGCAATCTCAATTGCACTCCACACTGCCCTTTCACAACTGGACAAAAGGAACACCTATGTGAGAATGCTGTTCATTGACTACAGCTCAGCGTTCATCATTAAATCACATCATGAGTAACCTGCTTAATCACTAAGCTCATCACTAAGCTAAGGACCCTTGGACTGAACACCTCCCTCTGCAAACAGATCCTGGACTTCTACCACTGCACCATCGAGAGCATCCTGACCGGTTGCATCACCGCCTGGTATGGCACCAGCTCTGCATCTGACCATAAGGCACTACAGAGGGTAGTGCGTA